AATGAAAAGGGGAAGAGGTATAAGACCAATTAAATGTTATATCTGTATTTTCGTTTGTTTAGTTACAAAGGCTATCCATTTAGAGATTGATAGCGACTTATCAAGTGAAGCATTCCTAGCTGCTCTAAAACGATTTGCTTCGAGGAGAAGAAAACCTCAAGAAGTAAGAAGTGATTGTGGAACTAATTTTATAGGTTCAAATAAAATCCTCAAGGAAGCAGTTTCATCTGTCCAGTCAACCTCAGAATTTCAAAGGTGGTTAGCAAATGAAAACATAAGGTGGATATTCAACCCGCCAGCTGCTCCACATCATGGTGGTATATGGGAGGCAGCTGTTAGATCTATGAAGCTGAATCTAAAGAAATGTGTTGGAACTCAAATTTTGACTTATGAAGAGTTTCTAACTCTAATTGCACAAATTGAAGCATGCTTAAATTCGAGGCCAATAACACCGGTCTCCAGTGATCCCAATGATTTGACAGCTTTGACTCCTGGACACTTTTTTATAGGGACTTCTTTAACAGCTGTTCCGGAACAAGATTTAACTGAAGTACGAGTGTCTCCATTGCAAAAGATGGCAACTAACACAGCAGATGTTCCAAGGGTTTTGGAAGCTGGTCTAAAGAGTACCTGTGCCAACTACAGCAGCGTAGCAAATGGAGACAGCCTAGCAGAAATATTCGTCTAAATGACTTAATTCTCATTAAAGAAGATAATATGCCTTCATTACGTTGGAAACTCGGGCGAGTAATAGAAGTGTTTCCTGGAAGAGACAATAATGTCCGAGTGGTTAGACTAAAAACTGTGCACGGGGACATTAAACGTCCTATTACCAAACTGTGTCTTTTACCAGTTGAAGAACATTAACTTAAGTGTTTGGTTTATATTGAATATGTTTTATTATTTTTTTTATTTCTTATTGTACTAATAATTTATTTGTTTGTTCTAGTTTAACCCTCATAGTTAACGTTTCAATATAGTAAGATATAAGATGTTTTGCTAGAAGATTGGTAAGTGTAACATGTAATTTTATACTTATTGAAGGTTTTTGTATGTTTTCAGTTTCTATATTTTTCATTTACTTGTTTGCATATATTGAAGATTGTATTAAGATGAATGTAATTCATCGGGGGGGAGGATGTTTTGGCCTCCTCGGTGATTGCGGTGATTTGTGCCCAGAGGGCGCACCGCACAAAAAGTTAGTTGCGTAACAGAACGTAAGGGAAGCGGACACGCCAAAATGTCGGGCGTATTACCGCTAATTGAGGTAATTGCATCGTATCTGTCAGGTGGCAGAAAACTAGTATGATGTATCAATTCACATGCCAGGTGGCAGAATATGTCTATCATGTACATGCCAGGAGGCATAACGCTTGTAAATATGCCAGGTGGCATACGACTTGTAAATAAATTGTAAATAAATGTACAGTAAAATATCTTGGTGCGATAACAAGCCTCAACAACCTTCTGATCATTTGGATACGTACATTTTGGAATATCTACATCAACATTAATATCATTTTTAGTTGCATACTTAGCAAGACAATTAGCTCTCTCGTTTCCATAATTACCCGAATGACCACGGACAAATGTAAAAAATACTGAAATACCCTTCTACTCTAGATCTCCGAGAGACTGCTGTATATTAACAATAATATCATTAGATAAAGAGGTTTTTTAAGGGATTCCAGGGAAGAGTGTGAATCCGTACAGATTAAGTAGCTGGAACAACGTCCATCCTGGATAATTATCCACTTAATTGCAAAATTAATACACAGAAGCTCAGAGATATACATACTACATTCATTTCTAAATTTCAATATCATTTTCAAAAATAACATAAGCAAAACCAACTTTATCATCAATCCTACTGCCATCCGTATACAACACAAGTCAGAATGAATTTACATTAGTGTCCATCCTATCCAGAATCTGTATTGGTTGTGTTACAGAAGGATGTGGAAGAACAGATGTGCAAGATACCCTGGATGTTCCCGTGTCGACCAGAACCATTTCCCGTCGATTGGTTGAATGTGGCCTGCACTCACGGGGTCCGTTAAGATGACTGCCATTGACCCCACAGCATAGACGCCAACGTTTAGAATGGTGCCGGACTGGAGCGATGTGGATGACAGAATGGCGAAACGTCGTGTTCTCAGATGAGTCCCGCTTCTGTTTATCCAGTGAGAGTCGCCGCATACGTGTGTAGCGTCTACGTGGAGACAGATCTAATCCGGCAGTAACTGTGGAACGCCCCACCGCGTGACAACGTGGAATAATGGTTTGGGACGCTATTGTCTACGATTCCAGGTCACCTCTAGTTCGTATTCAGGGGACTATGACGGCCCAATGACACTTGGATAATGTACTGCGGCCAGTGGCGATCCCTTACCTTCAGGGGCTGCCAAATGCAATTTTTCAGCACGATAACGCCCGACCACACAGTGCTCGCATCTTCCAACATTGTCTGCAAGGTATACAGATGTTTCCCTGGCCACCGTACTCTCCTGACCTGTCACCAATCGAACATGTGTGGGATGTGATTGGACGCCGTTTGCAGACTCTGCCCCTGCCTCGTTCAGAAGATAAACTGTGGAAAATGGTTGAAAGGGAATGGAGTTTAAATGAAATGCAAGAAAAAATGGGTATAAATTAATATTCCGTACAAGGAAATCATGTTCTGTACACATAAGATTTTTTCTGATGAGATTTGTTACTAACTGGAGCTCTTTTCTGTCATGAATTATGGAGTACATTTACTCTGCAAAGCTTTATTTAGTATATTCAGTTACTGGAAGACGTCAAGCAAGAAAGCTATGCCACACAGTGTCTATTATTCAGCAGATCTGTCACTGACGTCACACTCATTGTCAGCTAGGGAATCTTTATTTTATGTGCGAGTTCGAATAAGCACAAAACAATCTTGTTGCCTCGATGGGCAAGAGAAGTTTCCATGCTCTTTTAGTATATTTCCTGTGGGATTGCAAAGTATTCGGAACTGTATGCGTTTGATATCTGGAGTAAAAATTCTTCATTATTTCTGACAGAATTATTTTCATAGCATCGGACTTTTTTTAGTAATTAGAATCTTCCAGCTGTGATCAAAGGAGTTCAGCTATGAAATAGTTTTCTGAATATCAGAAACCACATCACTGTGTTTGTTTATCATAATTCCATATTGTCAATATTGATTTCAATGTATTTCTCGTGCCTGTACGAATGTTGAATTATAAAACCATGGAAAAGAACAAACATCCCCCTTGCCTAACCAGAGAAATATTTTCAAAATAAAACTCATCTGATATTAATATACTTAATAAACGTTTGCGATTGTACAGTATTTGTGCAATCTACAAATTCGTCCATTTCTAAGCAAATGCTTTTTACAAATTTCAGTTTAATTTTTAGTAGCTGCTACAAAACAGGAAATATATTTGGGATGTGCACAAAGGAGTAATGGAAAAAATAAGCCAGAGTCACTAACCGCTATCCCAGCTGTGCGCTTTCCAAATAGTATAATTTTCATTAAGAGCATGAGGTTTTCTAGCAGAATAGTGGAGTATTCAATTTTTCGTAACTTTCCTTCTTTGTTTTTCTTTGAAATAATATTTATCTCTAAATTGTTTCTTAATGCGTGTTAATATTCCGAATCTTTTAATTTTAATAAAGTTCGAAATATTTGCATTTGCGTTTTTATTATCTTTATTTAATTTGCTACTTCTACATTCTACTGTTTTTGCAGTTCTGTACTTTCCATCCTGGTAACTACGCATATCTTTCTTTATACAGACTATTAGATATTTCAAAATGTAAAAAAGAAAAAAAGAAAAGCGAAAGAAAAGCAACCGTGTCCCTGCTGGGAATCGAATCACACATTTTCAATTGCCAGTTGAAGAAGCTTGCTAGTTATACCTCGAGCAAGCATAGGAAAAGCGATAATTCCTTACAGTATGATTGTTCAACTTTTGATACTTAAAAAAGTAACCTTTCTTTTTTGGTGCTTTTAAATGATATATCTATTAAAGCGAGATACATACAAATATATCATTGAGAAATGTTAGTTTACAGTTTCACAGTTCTTTCTTTTCATTACAGGGAGGGTCAAGGGGAAAGGAGGCATTCGCGTCAATCGAGATATTATTTTTTCCTACTCGACAGAAACAGAAGCGTTTACTATGGGATTTATCTAAAAATTTATGGCTCCTTTGCGATTTTTAAATTTTCTGTCACAGTTGCTCACATAACCCTAGAATAAAGAGAGCCGTAGTTTAGGCTGTGAATCTCATTTAAATAACATTTAGTACGTCAACAAATTATTATTTCTAATTAAATATATTTATTTCACGATTCGTAATTAATTTACCAAAGGTTTAAGTCATTAAGCATGTTTTGTGCTTGATGTTTGAGAAAGTTTGAAAACTTTGATGGTATTTGTACAACGTAAGTGGTATGGATAATTTCATAAATTAAGTTAAAATACATAATCCATTTGTATGATAGCGCTTTTGGTTTAAATGCAAGAACACAATACAATGAACTAATACAAGATTTAATTTTCAACATGCTTTAGTTTTAATTTATTTAATTTAAAATATCAGTTTTCGTAGAAATTACTATTAGCCCAAAGAGGCAATTTGCCCAGAAGTATAAAACTATATTGTATATCGGATATCGGAAATTCTAAAGATATGTTCGTTTTAAAATTATTTTGCGATATTGCTGTTGAATTGAATTTTATGGTTTAAGTGCGAAGAACATATATTTAATAAATAAAGGTAACACACAAAACATTAAAATCTGAAAGCTTTCAGATTTTTTTTAGTTGAATGTTTTTTAATCTTAACAGTTCTAAACATCTCCGATAAAATGAAACTGAAATTATATAATAACTCTTGATTTAGGATTAATGAATTGATATGCAAAACTATAATTAACATTTTTTTTTATAAATTAATAAAATAAAATTCTCTTTTTGTCAAGAAACCTTGCAGGTTACTTACCAATGTCTGTAATTTCACTTCCAATTACTAGATTTATTACTAAAAAGAAAAGAAAAAATGTTTTTTCCATTATGCACGCAATCTGATTTTCATATAAAACTATGCATATAAAGCGCAGGCTATTTTATTGAGAAAAATCCTGGGAATTTACAAGACCCATAACATGTGCGTTTTTTTCGGAAATGCGTAACAGCAAAATTATCTGCGTTTTTCCAATTTAGATAACGACAGATAAAAAATAAGATAAGATAATTGCAGTTATTATTAAAACATTACACAGAAAAAGAAATTGGATAAATGTCAGGTGCGTACGGCTTCGTAATAGATTGTACGCACAAGTTCGATAATAGGTGATTAAAATTATTTTTTATCAAAAGAAATATTTCAGAACTCTGAAATTTTCCACAGAAATATTTGCATAAGTGTTCACAGTATCACACAGTATAATCAGTAGTTACACTGAAAACTACTAAGAACGTTAAAAACGCGATGCAAACAGCATTCAAAGAGAAAGCTAATCCGATCTCAGGCTGGACGGCTTTAGATAGTTTTCAACTAGTCACGAGATATTTTTAGTACTTTCTGCTTCTCGAAATTACTGGAAAGCAATACGAAGATGAAATTATGGTTACAGCTAACTTGGTGGTTAATTACATTTATTCAGTTTCAATGCAAATTATCAAGATAACCATTTACTCAATATTAAATGCACGTGCCCCTATATTCGTACTTCTCTGGCTTTTTTTTTTTTTTTTTTTCAAAATTTGTCTCGCTCTTCATTTAAAAAAAAAATAAATAAATAAAATACAACAGTTTTAATTATAACTCTAGCTATAATTAAAGACTTTGAAAAGTTAAAATTATCGACTTCTTTAATTCATTCTTTTTCCTGCATCATTTCTTTCAGCACTACACATAGTCTGTATTAAAAATAATTTCAGTATTTTAAAACATAGTTTGTATTAAACACACAGTTTGTATTAAAAATGGTTGCAGTATGCATTACTTTAAAATTTTGCTCTTCAAATCAGTTAGCTTTTAATTAAGAATAAATGAACTGGCATTGCAAAATTTTATTGTTATTTGTTTTATGCCCCCACAATATGTAAGTTTTCATTAGCACACACTAATAATAAAAATATATATTAATTCACGAAGAATTAGTATAAATGATGACATCGGAAAACAGAATCATTTGAGTTCCATAATCAATAACTTGGAGTATGTTTCTATCTTTATACGCCATTTCCGTAAAAATCTTATGTTGCCTTTATTAAAGCAGCTGTTGGTCGTACACATACACTTTCAGCTAAGTTTTAAGTTACGCAAATGTTCATATTTTGGGACTTTTAAAAAACATTTTGACAAAAATTATGAAATTTGACTTTTTGCACGTTCTTCCTGTCCCTATATTTACACTTAGGAAGATTTTTTTTACTCGTTATATAAAAAAAAAAAAAAAAAAAAAAAAAAAAAGGTGAGAATATCGTGCGTCAAAAATTGACCGAAAGATCAAATGCATGAGAAATCTAGGGAGTATGAAATTTAAAAATGCTTTAATTGGATTAATTAATAATTGTCTTCTATATGAGTATTTTAATGTTATTCTGTTCTTTGAATTTTACACTGTATATAACTCACTACTGCTAAGGTATGGCAGAGTATTTGTATGTTAATCTAAATGTAATTATACACTGTAATACTATGCTTATTGTTCTGCACTCATTTGTAATCTTAAGCCTAGATATTTTAGTTGTGTTACCGCTTTCAATCTTTTAACATTTAGAGCTAAACTATATGATCGATTTGTCAATAAGAGTTCTATTTTCGGGACTAAGAAGACTTCGATTTCTATTTACAAATTTACAATTTTAAGAATATTATAATGACAGTAGAATTGTTTTCAGTCTTCTGTAAAGTTTCCCCGTAATTCATCTCCAGTTTTTCCTCTAACAATGAAGGCTGCATCATCTACGTGGGCGAATTTTCGAGTATGTTTTAGCCAAGTTGTAAGTATTTTATTGAATTTGCAAGTGTCTAAAATTTCGTCCCATATATCAACTGATGTATGAGTATTTTATTTCCTTTTTCTAAACCCGGAGTGACAAGGGCGAAGATAATTCTTCTGATGCAGGTGATATTTAAGCTTGGTCACCAATATTTTTTAATATTTTGAGTAATGCTGATAATAAGCATTCTGTAGGAATTTGCGTTGCGTTGGCTGAATTCCAATGCTCTTTTAAGTAGAGTAAGACTTGGTCTATTTTGGAAGTTCTTGGTAATGTACCATTAGCAAGAAGTTCGTTGAAAGAGTATTTGCGGAAGGGGATAATATTGCTTCCGATGATCACTATTTAATAGCTTATGGAATCTGCCTGGTGCATTCTTTTTAGGAAGAAAGGGAAGCCCATCTTGGATTTCGCATTAGTAAAATCGAAGTCGGCTGAAGGTACTGATTTCTTTTTAAGTTGTATTATTTGTTGCTGCAATGGCGTACCTTCGTTGGCATTTTCTTGAGTAAAGAACGCGTCGAATATTTTATTCAAAATATCTTCTACGTTGTTATGGTTAGAAATTATTGAGGAAACGAAACGAATCTGGCTGGTTTGTATAGTTTATTGATTAGTATTTATCCATGTATGTCCTTAATTTCCGTACAAAATTTTCTCCAGGAGTTTATCTTAACTTCAATAATCATGCGTTTGTATCCTGCACGCTCGTTTTAACACTTTTGTAAGGTCAGATAAAAGTCAGATAAGGAATTCGTTCAACATGAAATTGCAGTTTGGATTTTCTTCCGATAAGACAGTAAATAGCCATCAAGGCGACATTGGCTTTATTGACAGCACAAATTACTTATCCTTTAAATGTACGATTTTCATTAAATATAACCCTAAACATTTATATACTTGACCAATTGGAAAACTACACTGGTGTGCAAAAATTAAGGACGAGATGGTTTTTTCAATATAAATTTGTACAAAAGCTTTCCAAATCAACACATTTAATACCGTAAGATCCCCAATACGTAAGGACATGAGCGCAATGCGACTGAAGGCCGAAACATCCCTGTGATGGGTGTCCAGCAAGAAATATCCGGTCTTTAATAGGGGATATGATCTCCCCTGACTGCTAGGCAGGTTTCACAGCGTCTGCCCATGCTGAGAATGAGGGTGTCAATGAGTTGTTGAGGCATTGCTGCCCATTCGTCTTGCAGCGCCAATCGAAGCTCCGGAATCGTTACTGGTGGTAAGGGTACGAGCTGCCAAGCGTCTGCCTAGAAAATCCCATACATGCTCGATGGGATTGAGATCCGGAGATCGTGCCGGCCAATCCATACGTTCAATATCCTCACTTTCTAAGAGCTGTTCGGCAGCTACTGTGCGATGACAGGGTGCATTGTCGTCCATGAAAAGGAACAGCGGACCTATAGCGCCTCTAAAAAGACGCACATATGGAAGAAGAATCTCGTTACAATAACGGGTCCCGTTGAGTGAACCTGCGTCGAAGATGTGAAGGTCTGTACGACTACCAAGCATGATGCCTCCTCAAACGAGAACACCGCCACCTCCATACCTGTCCCTTTCAATGATGTTCGAGGGATGATTGCGGCTTCCCCGCTCTCTCCAGATGAGTATGCGATGAGAATCGCTACTCAGACTGAATCTGCTCTCATCTGTAAAGAGTACTCGTACCCATTCATTGTCTCTCCAATTCCAGTGTTCCCGGCACCACAGAGAACGCCTTCTCCGATGGGCAGGCGTTAGAGGTACACACCGTACAGGGCGTCGTGCAAACAGACCACCACCGTGCAGTCTTCTGGCCACGGTAAAACGCGATATCGGTCGTCCAGTCGCCTGTGTCGTGTGTCTAGCGATTTCTCCCGCTGTCTGCCGCCTGTTTCTTCTGGCCTGTAAGGCAATATACCGGTCATCTGCGGGTGTGGTTCCTCGTGGACGACCACTACTAAACCCCCGGATAGCTGTTCCTGTAGTTTGAAATTGTGTCCAAAGTCGTGAAACGATGCTGTGTGCAATTCCGAACTCTGCAGCCACACTTGTCACACAGCGGTCCTTCCTCCAACTTCCCAATGATTCGACCTCGGGTAAAAGCATCCAGATGTCGTCTAACAGATTGATTATTCGCCATTTCTCGCTGAGGCTGCAACTCGGTGTGATTTTAACTGCTACACGGCGTGCAATCTCTTTGCCAGAAATACTGATCTTACACCGACAACATGCTTTATACTACTCAGACACTCCCCCATTACGTCTACCTGAATATCTGCGCATGTGCTACCGTACATCACTTTACTTAATCTCCTTTTTGGTCTTTCTGTCCGCTCTGCCTCTTCGTTCAGCTGATATGCTAATTTTTCGACTTCGTTCTTAATTTTTGCACACCAGTGTATTCCGCGGATTGTAATATATTCAATCAATCGGTTTTTACGTTTTCTTCTAAGAATAAAACAATACATTTGGTAGCATTTAATGTGACTTTCCAAACCAAATATGTGGTAAGTAATGTTAACAAAATGTTGTAAATTTAGTGTGGAGTTCTGAAGATTCAAAACTACAGCGTCTTACAGCACTTCAGCGTCCTTCAGTAAGATTCAAAATTTTACAGCATTTACTGTACCCTTTACGAAAGCTGAATTAGAATTTCTGAATAAGATTCTATTTTTCTGGATGTTCTGTGATTCTTTTTTTGAATAACTCTTTCAAATGTTTTGTAATACAAGGTGTTAAGAATTATGTTAATTTTATTAAAAGTTAAACGTTGAGTTAAATTTTCTTTCCTATCCATTCTTAACTTCAACTTACAACTTACGGTCAGAACTTAGTTTTAGAATCACATCTGAATACATAATGAGGAAGAGCGATATTTAACCGCGAAGTTCTTCGGTCTTAGTGAGAGAGATACCAGGTACTCTGGCTGCACGCGCCCGCCTTTTTCGGTTACTCTAACGTAAGCTACTATTATCACGCTCGGCCGTACTTTAGGCCCTTGATAGCTTCGGAGTCTATTAACGGTAAAAGGCCAACTCTGTTAGAATTTTGATAGCTTCGGCTATATCTCTTTAGTTAAGATTAGTTTAGTTTAATTCTTAGTCTCTCAAGTTAAAGTCTAGTTTAATTTAGTTTAGTCTAACTCTTAGT